ACTGTTTGTTGAGAGTAAAAAACCATCAAATAAAAAATGGTGAAGATAATTCGATAATTTATATTTGATTAAACGCTAATTCAGTATGAAGCATCCTCACTTTTCTATAACTATCAAATTAATATATGCAGCTTTGTTTGAACAACAATATACATCTTAATTACCCTCAAATTAACCTTAATAAAAGAGTAAAAATAGTAGTAAGTAGTAGTAGTAGTAATAGGAACTAGTATTCTGTTACACTTTATTCTGCCTGTAATTTATTTCTTTTTGCAGTGGTCTCCAAAGTGATGTGCAAGAATTAAACAGGACTATGCAAGACAGACCTGACAAAACCATTAGAGAAATTACATTGGAGAAAGTCCCGCTGGCCTTGCCTTAATGGAAGCAAGGGGTATAGATATTACATTTTGTACAGAGACATGGGAATCATCAAGTGAGATCGTCCCTCGTCCTGTAAACACTTTATCTGTGGAGATCTCTGATTCCATTTGATGAACAATGTCTGGTTGCAGGGTTTGTGCCAACATCACTCCTCCAATTCTCCGGCCTGTCAGGATGGGTTGTACTTGACACATTGATATTGTCAGTGAAGAATGCTCGATCACCTGGAAGCTGAAAGCATGGTTGTCTCGGCCTCAAAACATGTTTTTGTGTGGAAAAGAACATGATTTTGAAAAAGTTTTTCATGGAGATTCTTTACCAACTTTGGTATTATCTATAGTGATTAAGACATTGAATAATAGGTTTAAACTATCAGCACCAGATGAATACTCTACCACTTTTTCAATGCACTTACACAACCTAAACTGATGATCCAGTAGTAGTATTCGCTCCATTTTGCATTATAGTACTGCTAAACAAAAGGTTTATAACCCATACATTTAACACATCATATCACGCTTTGTAGATTGCTTTCACAAGAAGTGGTGGGACTGGATTGTAAAATGTGTGCTCACTGGCTCCCAAAATGAATGTGCTTTGGTGATAAGGACTGGATGAGAGGACGGGAGATACAGCACAATGCAGCAGCGCATCTCCCAGCTCAAGCTGTTTCACTGTGCAGTAGTCTGCGTTATATAATTCTGATGGGCTTCGTGGCACCTTACACTTCACCTCCCACGGCTAAAGTGTGAACACAGAGCCAGCCTTCGGGCTTTGAACTGTCCTTGGACAAATGTGCAGAAACAAATAAAGCATGCCTCAAAAGGGCATAGTAAATTACACTGAGTTAACAAACAGCCCCACAGTTGACTTGTGTTTGGCACATGGGGAATACACGTCACCCCTGATTAATGCTGAATCATGATATTGAAATAAGAGCGGAGGGTGGAGTGTGCCAGCGCTCACCAGCCTCCAACTTTTCACCCTCACAGTAACCTTTTTCTCGGGAACCGCTCCCTGCCATCTGTCAGTATTGGAAAGCCCTTGTGGCTTTCAGCAGGTTTTTCCAAACCTACATACATGGCTGCCTTTCCCTGTCAGAAACTCTGCTGTGCATAAACCTTCAGGCGTAACCAGCCGCTGGGAAGGAAAACAGTGTCAGCCCAGCCAAAGCCTCATTGACACCATGAAAAATCTCTCTTAGTAATGTTATTGACCCAGGACATAATCAGCTGGTGGGCAGTACATTGGCCAGAAAAGGACACAGTAAAGTTTAGAAAGCATTACCACCAGTGAAGCCACTTTAATATAATTGGATGTTGTTTAGCTAAGTGCTATTTAATTGCCTGACTCCTCGCTGAATCTTTCATGCAACTCTGTGCCGCAAACAAACATACCAAAGCATTGGCATTGTCTCCTTATTAGTTATTCATTGCTTAATTAACTTCATATCTCTGCTCACTCTTTTTGCAGCACTGAAAACTAGCAGGAAGTAGTTTTTCAGCTGAACCTTGTGAGTCGAGATGGCTCCTGCGCTATCAGTTAGAATAAAAAAGGCTTCCTTTATGAAAAGAAGTTTCGATTAATTAAAGAAAACACAGAACCGAACAGATTGGATGCCTCATCTTGAACAAATAACAATATGCGGGTGTGGAGGCTCTTGTTTTCATGCAATATTACACTTCTGGCCTCTGTGTGTGAATTATATTGATGACGGTCCAAGAGTCATTTCCTTTAGGAGAAAGAGGATGACTCATAAAAATGTGCCTCCATCGTATCTGATACCTTATTTTTGCTGGCCCCTCGTCCTAATAAAACCTTGTGTGGGGCTCATAAATCAAGTGCACGTCTCCCTAACAGATACATGATGATGAAAACGATGTATGATTAAAAAGTCTTGTTCAGTTCATCTCCAGTGTACTCAATTGAAGGAACCCAATCTTGTCCAAGACATAAACGACATTCATCAACAATCATTTCACCCCTGTCAAACGTGGGCAAAAGGAACAGAGGGCGAATAATAGAAAGCAATATACTGAAGCTAAAGCACCGAAAAGGCTTCTTGCGTGGCCCCAGGTTCACGGACCAGCTGTGACTGTGACCTCAAAGAGTCTTTGACTTTGACCGGCAGCAGATTGTGTGGACAAGGTCACTTACAGAGAAGCTTAAGCCCTGCTGTGTAACTAAATCGTATCTGATGTTAAGTATATCACATGAGAAATATCTGCAACTTGGGGCCTTTCATTCCTTGTTATGAATAGCAGTAACATCTCAACAGCATAGTGTGTTACTTACTGCCTGCATTTTAACAACCTATTAAGAGCAATGATTATGAAACATTGTGTTCTATTGGATTGACCCTGTTCTGGCCAGGTCAAATCGGATCAGAAATCCGAAGCCAGTTTGATGCAAATTACATTTTCCCCATAGACTGTATGGAGTTTTAACATACACGGAATTTCCTTTGGTGTATGGACAAGGATCTAATAATATAAATATGTATAAGATGTATTTAAATGTTTTTTTTAAAAAGCTTTGAGGGATATGCAAAAATGTAATAGAGACAAAGGTGCACAGCATAAAGAATAAAACGAATATGCAGTGTACAGAGATACTAGTCTGAAAAAAGATGCATACAATCCTATCTACAAATGTGAAGACTTTAGTGTAACATGTAGTGTCTATGGGGATATTAGTCTGTGTCAGTGGGGGTCCTCGGCCTTGGTGATGAAGCCAGCTGCAGATGGGGAGAAACTGTTTTGTGGTGTGAGGTTTTGGTCCTGATGGAGTGCAGCCTCCTGCCAGAGAGGAGTGATTTGAAAAGATTTCAGTGTGCAGGGTGGGAGGGGTCAGCCACAAGCTTTCCTGCCTGCCTCAGGGTCCTTTAGGGTTGGAAGATTGTAGCCAATCACCTTCTCCACAGAGCAAATGTAGTCAGCTCTAATGCAAATATAAAAATCTAAAGATGTGATATTTTGTGACTTAAGTAAAGAGGGTTATAAATCTGAAATTGTAAGGGATTTAATTTATACAATGCATATTGTATTCCAGGGTACGGGACTATATAGCACTAATGATATGTATGTGAATTTTAAAACCATGAATTATAGTCCTCTGCCATATCTAACAGAGAAGAGCAGACATATATGTCTTATTGTGCATAAAATGAAACTTCTTATCTATCTACTCACTTTATGTCAGCCGAGACCAGAAAACGCTGAGAGGCATTCCTTTGTGTTCTCAGTTGTAAGGCTTTCTGTGAGAGATCAGTGATTTTTGAACTTTTTTGAACTCCTACCAATATCTATGCTACTGACAGACACCTCAAACAAGTGGATACTTCATCAACACGTAACTAAGTCACTAAGTCACTAAGTCAAGTGTCTTTTATGTCAAGTGCCTTAAATATCTTATCTAAAAGGATGTCACAACGCATATCATCTTACTTTCACCTGCCACATTGTATCAAAGATCTTTTGAAGCACCTGTAAGAGGTGAGAATCTCTTATATATAGATATGTATATATTTATATACTAGACATTGCAATTAAACTGTTGTGATCTTTGAAATGTTTATTTTATTCAAAAGACTACTGTGGTATATATGTATTATTAGATACATTGGACACATGTAGTTCAGAGTATATGGAAGCACACACTAGTTCTCTTGAAGTTAAACTCCATAAGTTTAAGGAGCCTTGATTTAGATTTCTTTTTTTTAAACAGGAGGTACAGTGTGTGCTGATAAACCTTGGCATTAACTGCCATCTAGTGGCTTGAACTGATTTTGCAAGAAATCATGGTTTGGGAAGGATAAGGGTTTCAAAGTCAATAATATATATTATTTAAAACGGATCTTTAATCAGGTGTGAGCTTAATAACTCGCAATCGGACATCCACCGGCTAAGTATCTTCCATCTCTTTGTATTCAAAGGTGTAGTTTCAACATTGTAAATTCTCAAAGTATAAACACTGGCTTAGTTTTAAGCTACAATACTAACCCTCTATGAGGCTTTATTTCCTCTTTTAAAGGCAACTGTGATGAAAAGGGTTTATCAAAAACAAATGTGATAGGCTACCTAAAAGGGTGTAAAGTGTGTATAATAGTGTATAACCATCTTTGGGTTCCTAAGAACTTGCAGATATATTTATTGTGATACACATAGTTACCTGAATTAAAACGTATTATTATCTTCTGATTGAACATCAACAGAACTCTTGCAAATTATATAATCCGATCCTAACACATTTGCAGATTTTGTCCCATAAACTGTATAAAAAGCGTTGCATTCACGTGTTTTCTGTAATATTGAGCACTAATGTCACAAATAAAAGACCATAGCTTTGTGACGAATTTGTAGGTTTATGTGTTGAGTTGATTTAGAAAACGGAATGCAAATGACAGTAGTGTGATCTTTTTCTTGTGATTATGCAAAAACTATTGAATACATGTATTCTTCTTACATCTCGTAAGAATCTCTACATTATACCCCAAAACCTACTTACCACAATGCCGGGCTGTTTTCCCCGTGGACAGAATTCACCACCAATTTAAGTGTATCGAAATTACGAGCAGAGAAATGTGAGTTTAAAGTGCTACCGGAAACCCCCTGAAGGCATCGTTGGAGGGAGCAGGAGGCGCGAGGCTAACAGTGAGCACACCCTGCCAGCGAGCCACTCAGTGTTAACACCACAAACATGTCGGGGAAGAGTTTTCGAGTTAGCGACGGGGACTGGATTTGTCCAGATAAAAAGTAAGTGCTTCCCACATTAATAAAAAATTCTCATTTTACCTACATTATGATGGAAAATAGCACCATATGTGTGTCAAATATGCTGGTCGTGCAAGTTAGCGTAGGCCTTTAGCATTGCATTGCATGCTAAAAGGCTAGCTTGTTGACTAGCTGAGTTGTTCACTTGTAACTTATTTCAACCGCTTTACATTCATCATCTACACAATAACAAGTAACACAATGTGTTCATTCGAGGGTGAGGACGTGTTTTGGATGTGCCAGTGTGTCTTTATATAAGTTGTCAGTGTGCGCAGACTTATTGTATAGCAAGCTAGCTATCGTTAGCCTCATTGAGTTAGGTGAGAGTCCACACTTACTACTGAGGGTAGTGTTTACAATGTTGAAGAAGCCAAGTTGTCGTTAGTGTGGAGTCTATCTTAGGTAACTTGTGTAGTCAGCAGTATCAGTTTGCACATGAGCTGCATTAGAAACGTCTTGAGTGACAGACAAGCCAGCTGCAGTTGTGCAGGCCTTTCACACAGGCTTTCCCAAACAAGACTACAAGCTAATGATGTTACACATGAGAGATAAATAAACATACACCACTACTTTTGCGTGAAGCCTACTCAGTTTACGCCTGTATTGTGAAGTAACAAGGCCAATGTTTTATCTGTGGCTACTATGTATTCATCTTTATCCTTTTGCAGGTGTGGAAATGTAAATTTTGCTCGAAGGACAAGTTGCAACAGATGTGGCAGCGGTGAGTCCTTCTTTATGCATATTGTTAAATCTAGATTCAGGCTTCATACATTCTGTCAAAAGGCTGCTGTACTGACACAACATTGTTATGCTTCCTCAGAGAAAACCACAGAGGCCAAAATGATGAAAGCTGGAGGGACAGAGATTGGAAAAACTCTGGCTGAGAAGAGTAGAGGCCTCTTCAGTGCAAACGATTGGCAATGCAAAACGTAAGGTGTATTGTAAATTATAAGGAACTACCAAAATGTTTGATTAACCACTCAATTGAGCAAATTAACTAAATAGTTTACTGTATACACACACATGATTATGAATACACAATAACCTTTTGTTTCCAAATTAGCTGAAACATTTACTTCCCTATTTCTATTTTTAAATGTGTTCTTACAGATTCTTATTTTACTCTTCTACTCTCGTACAGATGCGGAAATGTCAATTGGGCAAGGAGGTCAGAGTGCAACATGTGTAACACCCCAAAATATGCCAAGCTCGAGGAGAGAACAGGTATGTCAACAAATGTGTATTTTGGCAAGTCTTGGTGTGTTTGAAAACTAGTTTCTAAAGCCTATTTTCCCCCTTTTCGCTATTCAGGTTACGGTGGAGGTTTCAATGAAAGAGAAAACGTGGAATACATTGAAAGAGAGGATTCTGACGGTGAATATGATGAAGTGAGTTGTAACTTGTAATGTTTTCTGGTCCATCATTTCGGTTGACTTACTGCCATGTACACATATGGCATCTGTAATCTTCATTTCTAAACTGCTTTCTTATGTCACAGTTTGGTAGGAAAAAGAAAAAGTTTCGTGGAAAAGATGAAAAGAGCGAACCTGAGAAGAAGGTAGTAGTACCAATTAAAGTTCAAGCTCCCGACGACGAGGAAGATGAAGAGGAAGAGGATGAAGAAGAGGGTGACCTTTCCAAATACAAATTAGATGTAAGATTGGTTGCTGGATCCTTTAAATTCAAAAGAAAACATTTTGTTCAAATTAAAATACTATACAATGATTGTGTTATAACCAACACGTCTTCTCAAGGATGATGAAGACGATGACGAAGATGGAGACCTTTCAAAGTACGACCTGGACGCTAGTGAGGATGAGGACAAGGACAAGGACAAAGACAAAGACAAGGACAAGGACAAGCCAGCTCAGAAAAAGGGCAGCCGTTCGGGTTCGTCCCGCTCCGGCTCCTCCTCGCGCTCCTCCAGCTCCAGTTCACGGTCGAGGTCCAGGTAAAAGGGTACAGGTCAAGGGTAACTCCGGGCAAAATGTCAGTATCAGCTCAATCTTCCTTCTGAATTACTGATCCACATTAATACATGTCTTGTTCTGCCGATTTGTTGTTTTCTCAACCCCTCCCCTACTGTGGTGTTAGAACCTTGATGTGCAGAAGTTTCTAGATGTCGTTTTATGTTTTGAAACGCCTGACTTTTATTAGAACAAATGCATTGTTGATATTCTAGTCTTGAAATGCACCTTGAATATCTGTTTGAAGTTTTTACCTGTTTTCGTTGTCTTTCTATTTACTTGGTTATTTCACCAAACCCACAAAAGCATCTTTTGTTAGTCTAAACATGTACTCATCAGTTAAGCTGTACTGTAAGGAATAGTCTAACTGAAATACTGTCCAACTGTTTGTACAATCCTGTGTGGACCGTCCAGGTATTTGTCTTGTTCAGAAAATATTGGAAAGGTTTTGTTTTTTTGTCTTTCAGGTCCCGCTCTAGAAGCTCATCAAGTTCCAGGTCTGGATCTCGCTCCAGGTCCCACTCCAGGTGAATGAGGTGACATGCACTCTCTCCCTTGGAGAGTGTATGTACAGGGCAAAGCTCCAGAACAATCCTACTCCCCAGCTAACATTTGAACAAAGACTGAATTCACAATCTGCCTTGACGCTTTCAAATAATTTGATGTAGGGTTTTTTCAAGTTTAATTTAGGACTGGGAGTATAAATGGTACACAGTTTAACTATCTGAACTGAGATTTAATTTTACCAAAGCTAAAACGTCTAGAGCTTGGGTTTTAATCTCACACTCTCAATAACAGTGCTTTAATTATATTGACTTGATGCTAAACATTTTCTTCAGCATCTTGGGATAACCTATATTTAAGTGCTCTTAAACTTGATAAAAACCGACGCTGATGGGACTGTGTCTTGACCTTACTGACCCTAGTGCTTGGTTTATTCCTCCAAAAGATCCAGTTCCAAGTCTGGAAAGGGCTCCTCTCCCCGGAAGAGGTCCCGCTCCCCCTCCTCCTCACCTGAGAGGGGACAGAAGCGCAGTCGCTCCAGGTCCTCATCTGGAGAGAGAAAACGGAGGCGCTCTAGATCACGTTCGTCCGAAAGGTTTGGGTTTCTGTGGAATACCACAATGGCACTGATTCTTATTAGCCATCTGTCGCCTCGCTTATGGGAGTTCAGATTTATAGAAATATCCTCACATTTTGCCTTGTTATATTGTTTTTACATACATTTGTTAACCATGTTGTTGTTTCAAGAATGCATAGGTGAATGTTAACATCTGAGCCTGCTGACCTTGTCTTTCTTCCCGTGGTGTTTGTGTGATTTCAGGTGCCGTGGGCAGTCCTCTGGATCCTCCCATTCTGGCTCCAGCTCAAAAAAGAAATAACTTTAACGCCTTAAAAACAAGAAAAGGAACCTTAGTAGAAAAGTGCATGTTGTGTTGGAAGCAAAACAACCACATAATTTCAGTATGATGTCCATTTTCATAAAAAAAGTCTTATTTTCTTCAAAAACAGAGTGGCAACATGACTCCCTCTGCTGTTGCACATCATCCCTTTTTTAAAAACCACCTACACCCCAAACTGTGACAAGTGTCTGTAACTGCAGGTGTCCAATAAACATAAGTGTTTAGTCCCATATGAAAATCAGATGAACTGTAAAAAGGCAGTAGGCCACTTAAAAACGCATATCTTTGTAGCAGTAAATTTTATTCCACGCCTCTGTGGGGAAATTAAAGTGATCATTTTTGATTATATTTTTTCCGTGGCCCTCGAAATATCTGATATTGTGGTACTTTTTTTTTAAATACTTTCATTTTTTTTAAATAAAATATGAAGTACTTAAGCACCAACTTGTTATAACAGATATAGCAATTAATATTGGTATTTTTGTTTTTATTTTCTTAAAAATATTTTTTTGCTTTCTGTCAAGGTAAGTATTTTACTTTTTGATATTGCGTGTTTTAACTAAATGGCTGTAAATTCCACATTCTTTGGTTTAGGTGTTTAGTGTTGTATTTCTCTTTTTTTTTCTTTACACAATTGTCACACGTTACAATTTAAAGTTATACCTTCTCATTTGTCACCTGGGAAACTAAAACATTCAAGAAATTATTAATTAACAATGATTAATATTCGTACTTAAGATTAGTACTTCCAGAATAACAAACACCATACAGTATATCCTGATTCATGGTAGAAAGTGACAATACAGTCTTTAATGGTGAAACAACTCAAATGTACACGTGTAAATAAAATCCTGTCGACTGTTACTTTGTTGTTGCGTTTGATTTAGCCTAGATTAGGGCGGGGAGTCCAGAAAGATCTATAATATGAGTTTATGTTTGCAGATGTGTATACATAATCACAGTTTCACTACCAGCAAAGTTTTGTATCTATGGAGGCTTTTGATAGCTAATGATGTTTTGTTATTGCACACAAATGGCAAAAATCAATCATGAGGTTCAAACAAGTTCACAATACAGATCTAATTTTAAAAATAGGGGAGGAATAAAGACAACGGTGTTTAAAAAATGTCTAACAGCTCATATTAAAAACTAGCTCTTTTTTTATTATAAAGTAAACCATTAAATGAATAAATACTCCTGACTAGTTGAATTTTGAATGGGCTTTAGACTTGTGTTGTCGTTCTCATTGTGGTCAGCAGGTGGCACTCTGCTGTTATCGTCCTGAGTTTAAAAGAGGGATGGGTACATTCGTAACGGGTGCTTAACGTAGTGGTAAATGATTTCGAGTATCGGTGTCTGATACATGTCCCGGGCTGCATTCAAACTGAGTTAAAGTTGGTTAACAAGTGTTCGTAGGTTGGAAATATTAGAAGCTGCTGACAGTGGAACTGTGAAAGCAACAACGTGCTGTTAGTGTATCATCTGAGTAGGCTAGTAGTGAAATGTGTCATGCTATAATCTAAATTCACATCAAGTACATACACTATTTGTAGTATGAGAAACCATTAATGGCCTACCTTCTTATCCCTTAAAGCAAATGTCCCCATGATCATCAACCAGATGTAGCCTAATGATTTAATACATGTCTTTTTAGTGCCATTTCTCTCGAAGAGGCGCAGAGCAGGTTTATTGTTACCTAATTTATCCGACAAGTCTTCCCATATGCTCACCACCAAGATGTGATAATCTCCAGCATCATGACTTTAGTTTGTCGAGCAGCGATAGGGTTGCACCTAAAGTGCCTATAGCCTATTTATAAATGGAACGTATAAGGATATCACCTTCACAGACATCACACAAGGTTTTCATAAAAGTGCTGTACAGTTTAGAAAGTGTATTTTAAACTATGTGCCTCTGTTTGATTTTCTGGGTAGTCCCGCCTCCAGCGTGTAAAAAGGAGCCGACGCGCTTTTACGCACTTCATTCAGCTGGAGCGCAAGAGGATGCCGGACACATACCTGTGTTATCTGCTGCGTACAGGCTTACCCTTTCCGAAACTATGCACAAGGACGGCTGTGATTCTGTAGGGGGGTTGAAAAACTTGATTGGAGAGATGCTGGACTTCAACGTCTCCAGGTCATTGCGCGAAAGCAATGCCACCAAAAACTCCAGTTGTGGATCTGTATCAGTTGGTTTCCCTATAGCCATGATGATCACTGGCATGGTGGGCAACACATTAGCTCTTATTCTGGTGTATGTATCTTACAAAAAGAAGGAAAATAAAAGGAAAAAGTCTTTCTTGCTTTGCATTGGATCACTGGCGTTAACTGACTTGTTTGGACAGCTTTTGACAAGTCCAATAGTGATATCAGTTTACAGAGCGGACCTGAAGTGGGAGCGCATCGACTCATCGGGCAAATTATGCGGTTTTTTCGGTGTGTGCATGACAACTTTTGGCCTGTGCTCTCTCTTCTTGGCCAGCGCCATGGCAATTGAAAGGGCTCTGGCGATAACAAATCCACACTGGTACTCCAATCACATGAAGACAAGTGTGACAAAGCAGACTTTGGCTGTCATCTGGTGTCTTGTGTTGCTCTTTGCGCTGCTGCCCATTGCAGGGGTCGGGGAATATACCCGCCAGTGGCCGGGCACCTGGTGCTTTATCAGCACAGGGGACAGGGAAGTCCCGGGCAATATGTTTTTCGCCATCACTTTTGCTGTACTTGGGATTTTCTCTCTGCTTGTTACACTTTCCTGCAATGTAGTGACAATCCGTGGCTTAATTATCCGGTGTAAAACAAAGTCTGGCACTTCTCAGTCTTCAAAGCAGTGGGAACGGCTCACCACGGAGACCGTCGTTCAGCTGTTAGGGATTATGTGCGTCCTTCTTATATGCTGGTCTCCTCTGCTGGTATGTTTTTATAGGCGACTCAGCCTTTAACTTTCTTACAGAATGCATTCACTAGTTCCTATGGCCAAATGAAATTGCGGATATAAGAAAGATTTAACATACAGTATATTTTCTAAAGATGCTTGTTTCTTTTCATACAGTAAAAGCTTTTATAGTAAATTGCCCAGTGTCTTAATTCACAGATCAATTTATTTTATTGTCACTTGCAGATCTTTATATGTGGAAATGTTTCGACAGAAAGCAAGAGCAAACGCTGCACATCCTTATATTTTCTCCTTACAAATCTATTCACTATCTCACAATATTTTACTCTTATCTCGCACACACACAAACCACACTTGCCACTCACATAAATGCTGTCATGTATGATCCTTTTAAATGCTGCTGACATTTTCCATTAAGGGGCAATCCACTTATCTGAGTCCTGGTTGGGGGTCTGCTCAGTCTGCTATGAGGTCATGCATTATCAGGCACATGTTTAATAGTCCCAAAGATATGATTAGAAGCAACAGTGATGGCAGAGCGAGCACCTAGAGCGTGAACATCATGCTTTCCTAGTTTGATTCAGTATAGCTGCTCACGGCTGTGGTGAGATTTGTGATATTTAATATATAAGAAGTATTATTTCAGTAATCAAGTGTGCATAACCATTTGAAAGGCTTTCTCAATGTTACATTTTGAGTGAAGAAGATAGTTTGTCCTTATTATTCTCTAGTGGTACAAACAACATGTGCCTGCCTCCCCTTTCAGGTGCTGATGCTGAGAATGATCTCCCACCAGGTATCTTCCCACGAGTGCAACTCAACAGCAGTGACCTCCAGTCGTAACTCTAGCCGGGACGTCCAGTTAGACTGTAACTTTTTCCTCACAGCAATCCGCTTGGCCTCCCTCAACCAGATCCTTGACCCATGGGTCTATTTGCTCCTCAGAGAGATCTTCCTACGCAAGTTCTGCTTAGTGGCTAATGCAGTGTCCAACTGCTCCATAGAGGAACCGAAGGAGACCCAGACGGCATTGGACGCCCTCAATAAGCAGAACCATCAAGACGGCAACAACCTTGATAAACCACAAGGTAGCAAGGATGTCAACATTTGACAGGAATTACTATCATGGCTTTAAGTTCAGACAGATTGGATGGAAGAGAATATGGAAACACTATTTTCATGGATGTGTCCTAACATCATGTTAACAAAGGGTCTCTCCATGTTCTGGACAGAAGGATATTGTACAGTGGTCTCAGTTGCAGTCTTAATAAGAACAAGCCAAGTCTGCTCGGGGTGCTTTGTTTTGTTTAAAACACATTCCATCCGAAGTCACCAAACCAGCATGTGGATGCATGACCTTGTCACGTGTTACATTAGGCTGCAGCGCGGCAAGTTTTCTGTTTTGATAACAGCATCTGCCAGGCTCAAGACCTGAATATGGGGGACTCTAAATGGACTTATATGGAAGTAATCCATCTTGTGCTCTTGCAAATTGCTTTAGCCAAATTGAAGCCATAAACCAGCTAAAGGACTAATGGATTTTCCGTATGTCTAAAAATTAAGATAGAAACTGTACATTTGCATATATTAAGATGTAAATAGGACTGTCATATCTTACATTAAATGTAGCCATAGAGGTTGTTCTGAAAAAAACTGGAGCCGATCGTTGATTGTCAGATTATTTATTAGTGTCTGGTGTTATAGTGACTTCTGCGCTGAATCATGCTACCTGCTGGGTATCAGTTGTTGTAAATTGTATAGTATAATGTATGTTGTTTTCCTCGGGCTAGCAGCCAAAAAAAACTACATGTGAAGCTTTTAGTTTTATGCCACGTTCCCCCTTGAATACGAATGCACTGGTATGTTTTTTGTGCAATTATATGTATTTTTCTCAGCAATGTTCTTTTCCGAATAGCTTCATTCCACTCTTTTGAACCAATTGTATGTGGCAAATAACTGTAAATGTGTGTTGTTCAGCATTATGGATGGCAGGGTGGCATTATTATAATGTGGTTATGGCTGTCAATGTCTCACTGAGAAATCCTTGTTCTGTAAGTTCATAATGGAACAAAAGGACAATATGTTCATATAAGTAGAGACAAAGGTGCTGTTTGGATAAAAGTCTGATAAACAGGAAGATAATGAAATAACGGAAGCTGTGTCCAAATAATACACAGCATAAAACATCTTAAGCATTAAAAGCTATTTTGGCACTCTTGAAACATATGCTTTAATTACTCAGATTCAAGAATTCATGCTTATAATTATGTGGTGGTGATTGCTTTGAACATGTTGAATTTGTTGTTCTACATTTAAAATGTTCTTAACAGCCAAACTGTGTCCACCTTAATGCTACCTCTCAATATAAGTAAATCCTCATTTTCCTTAAACGTGTACAGTGGAAATCACCTGAGGTCTGAGATCTAATCTTTGTTCTTAGTGCCAATATACCAAGTATGAGTGCTGTTGGCAGGAAATGGCAATCATTTCCGTTACAGTCATGAAAATGTGATCTTTTTGGGCTACGTCGTCATGTATAGCACTGTAAATATATTCATAGAGGTCCAGCATCTTAGGCAAAGACATCTCAAGGATGGACACATTTTTAAATGTCATGGTAACCTCCAGGTTATGGGGGACACTTTGTCACACTTACACATCAGCCAACAAGATTAGATATGTGTGGATTCTGCTTTGCCAGGTCTTGCCTTTGCCTCTTGAAAGGGCGAGTTCATACAAGCTCAGTGATAATGACACTATAGGAAACTATTTTCTGTGAAATCCATGTCAAGAAATAGCATTTTCTATTTACAGATATATAATTCATCTTAGATGATTGTGAATCTGATCAACTTGAAATATAAATGTTGTTTGTTGTGGGGAAACAAAAATATAGAGGACATCAAAGCATTTGTTCATGGGGTATATTGCACAATATTTGTCAATATTCACGATTGTTCTGAAGCTCA